ACTTACGTGGCTTTAAACAACGTGAAACTAAATTATTTTCATATCATTGCGGACAGTTATAGGAAATTTCGGAAATGTGATCTCTGAGGCTGATCTTTTCTCGAATATGTGGGAACCGGTGAACAACAATACAATCTCGTAGACTTGAGGCAAAGTGAAATTCACACCAGTTACTCCGTCTTTCATCATTCTATTATGCAGGAAAAACCGCACGGTTATGGGTCATCCAATAAGGTTAGCAGACTTCTAGATGTTACCACTGCTAGGCTTAGTCTCAGCTACAAGTATCTCTGGGAGTTTGCAACATCTACCGATGTAGATTTGACTAAATGTAAACTCTGTCAGCAGAACTATTCGCATACTTTGCGTCATTATATAATGGAATGTGAAAACTTCGCGGAATTCAGAGATAACACCATCAATGGAGTCTAAGAAATGTGTACGTAGTTCATTCATTATTATGTGCTGTCAGGAATCTTAGCGAATTATCCAAAATTTTCTTACTGTAGGTGCAACCTGCACATGACTGCAAAGCTGCCGCTCAGTTGGGTGCGTGTGGAGCAAGACTAGTAACTGTGATTATGAAAGATGTGTGAGTATGAAAGATGTCCTCCATATAATGCAACAACATTATATGGAGGACCTATGGCAATTCCACGACCAAGAGACGGCTTCCTGAACCTTGCTGGAATCAACCTCACTGAGGACCAAGTCACTCTCCTAAATCTGGGTATAAACTGTCACGTTATGTCCAGACCAAGTGAGATGGCCCGGAAAGTGGAGTTGGAGATCCTGTTGGACGACATATTTATTGACCTCGAGACACAAAAAAAGGTCACCACCAAAGACACCTTACAAGCAGAACTTATTGCAGGAGGAAAGATTCGAGGCAACTACAGAAGCACCATACTGTCCCTCGAGCTCAAAGCGGCAGCTAAGAGCCTTCGTGAGAACAAGGAGATAGTCGTCAGGAGAGGTGACAAGTCGCCAATATATGTCATTCTTAAAACAGACGAATATCTGGCGAAAATGATCCTCATACTTTCTGACCAAACTAAATTCCAAAGGGTAACGATGGACACTACAGCCGAAATGAAAGCAAAGGTCAACAAATTGATCGAGACTGTGAACGCCAAGAAAACCGGACTCCACCTGCCAAAGATCATTGGGGAATACAAACCTGGATACGCGTATGGAAATGTCAAGACACACAAGCCTGGAAACCCACTTCGGCCAATCATCAGCCAGATACCTACACCCACGTACAGACTGGCGAAGCGACTCAACGGCTTGCTGACTCCTTATGTCCCTTGTGCCTTCAGCCTTTAGTCCCCAAAGGAATTTGTTGACTTATTGCGGGGAACACGCGCCACAGGGATAAGAGCCTCGTTGGACGTAGAATCACTGTTTACCAACGTACCTGTGGATGAAACAATCGGGATGATAGCCGACAGAGTGTATCGTGATCCGGCCTGTACCCCTCTTGACATACCAGAAAACATTCTAAGGAAACTACTCCAAGCTTGTACTAAAGAGGCACCCTTTTTGAGCCCGGATGGGCACATGTATAAGCAAGTAGATGGGGTCGCCATGGATTCTCCCCTAGGTGTCCTGTTTGCGAACTTCTACATGGGTACCATCGAACAAAAGGTCTTAGTCGACATGAACTTGGCACCGGCCATATACTGCAGGTATGTTGACGATATTTTTACACAGGTACCTGATGTTAGACATCTGCAGGAGCTGAAGGAGGCATTTGAGCGGAATTCTGTGTTGCGTTTCACTTACGAGATGGAGAATGATGGGAAGCTGCCCTTTCTAGATGTAACAGTCATGGAAAGGAGCAGAGGTTTCCACACTGCAGTCTACACTACGGAAACAAACATAGGAATGTGCCTTAATGCCAACAGTGACTGCCCAAACAGGTACAAGAGGAGTGTTGTTAACCCTTATGTCGACCGTGCTCTCAGCCACAGCTCAGGATGGAAGCAAGTCGATGAAGAACTCTGTAGGGTAAGGCAGGTCCTAGTCAACAACGGCTTCTCCAATGGTTTCGTTGAAGACATAAGAAGGAAGGTGAAACGCCATGCAACCTCTGAAGAGACAACTAACACAACACCTGTACCCCCTATTAGACTATTTTACAGGAACTTCTTTTCTACAGCTCATAAAACGGAGGAAAGGGTCCTGAAAGATTGTTAATAGGAACGTTATCCCTACAGACAAAAATCAGAAGATACAATTGACGATTTACTATAAAACCCAAAAAACTGCCGACCTACTCATGAGAAACTCTCCAGACACAAAGCAGAACGCTTTAAAAAGAGACCAATGTCGTCTATGCCTTCAAATGCCCACTTGGGGATTGTAAGCCTCAAAGAACTCAGTATATAGGCAAGACAACAACATCTCTTTCCAGGCTATTAACGATGCATAAGCTACAGGGCTCCTTTAAGGAACATATAATCTCTTCCCACAACCAGACCATCACCAGAGAAGTCTTAACAAAAAACACAGAAATCATCGATAGATACAGCGATAGCAGGCGGCTTGATATCTGCGAGGCGCTACACATCAAGAAGTCAACACCAGCAATCAACAGCCAATTAATTCACAACTATTCTACCCACTTCAAGACTCCGCACCAATATAGAAGCATCAAGAAATATGGGCCAATAGGCCCTTTGCAGTTACTTCCATTCTTCCCTTTAAAAACTTACCCAATATTATACCCATTGTTTCGTGTTCTGTCTTGTGTTTTCACCTCATCCAAAACTGTTGTAACATATCTCACCCAAATACAGGTATATAAAATGAAAGCCATTTAAATTATAGCATAGTAGGACTCTGTTTAGTGTTTGCAGGTTATAGTTGTGTGTGTGTAAACTAGTCTTTGAAAATGTAATAAGTTATTACGAAACGCGTTCAAGTGTCGCGTCAGACTAGAATTAAAAATGAATTTTGGAGAATTGATTTTTCAGTTACCATCGACAGTGAAAAGAAACATAAGAAATATGGAGAAAACTCGTGTTAGAATTATTAATCTTACTTTTTCGGTCACATTTAATAATATATGTTTACAAGAAAGACTGCTACCAAAATATACTTACATACATACATACATACATACATACATACATATACACACACACACACACCCCCAGAAGTGACTCGAACCCATACTGCCAGGAGCACTATGCATCTGGTGTACAGGACACTTTAACCACTCGACCATCACGACCGGACAAAAGATGATGGTAGTCGAGGTTATTTCCCCATCATCCTGCCGGCACTCTGATGGTAATCTTGGGCATAGTATTTTATCAAATCACCTCATTCTTTGGGGCACACATGAGGAACAAATGTGAACAAGCCTGAATGGTCGCCAGGCATACATGCAACCGAAAACTCACACCCCAGAAGTGACTTGAACCCATACTGCCAGGAGCACTATGCATCTGGTGTACAGGACACTTTAACCACTCGACCATCACGACCGCACAAACAATGATGGTAGCCGAGGCTATTTTCCCATCATCCCTGGTCAACATACTTCAGCCATGTTGTTGTGACTCGTCGCCTGCATGGGTCTGAGGTCCGCTACCTACCAGCTGCACAGCCGTTAATGATGATATCCTTTCTCTTAAAACAAAGTCATGTGCCCTGGCTGAAATACAAACTAACTTACAAAAAAAGCCTCCTGATTTCATGTTGTGGCCATTGCATTACTCTACAACAAATCACTTGAACCCCAAACCTTTTGGGATATTAAAAAAATAAAAAGAGTTAGCCCAGTTAGTAAAAGTTGTGATCTCACTGGTTTCAATAATTACAGACCAATATCAATCCAGCTAACCTTGTTTAAAATATTTTTAAAGTTAGTATACAAGCAACTTTACTCCTATGTATCTAAACACAACACTTGCCAATATGGCTTCAGACCCCAAAAAAGCATCAATGGTGCACGGATTAGTATGAACTTGATACATGCTGCTCTTGATAATAATGAGTACATTGTTGGGTTATTTCCTGACCTACGTAAGGTTTTGACACTTAACCACAATAACCTCGTTCTTAAACTACAATATTATAGAGTCAGATGTCACTTCCTGTAATACCTTCAATCTTACTTTAGTGACAGGCTCCAGTATGTTTCTGTGAATGAATTGAATTCTACCACCCTACCCATTAACATTTGTGTTCCACATGTCAGTGTGTACTTGGCCCCTTCCTCTTTCTCATCTCCATTAATGACCTTCCTAATGCCTCTAAACACCTCAAGACAATTTTATTTGCCAATGACAAAACCTTCATTTTCTTCAGTCCTCATTCTCTTATTCTGAATGACAGTTAATACTGAACTCAATAAAATCCATATTTGACTAACTGAATTGTGACGCTATTGTGATTTCCGTGTGTACAGTATTGAAGTAAGGGCGAATAGGTAGAAGAGCTTGTTGACAGAGCCCGAGTGCATGGAGGAATTGGGTAAAACCCTGGTTTGTGTCTGAGAGGCTGCAGGATCCGACCTATAACAAACTTTGTTGTCAGACAACACACAGTCTCGCTATTGAAGTCCCTTATTAACATGCTAAACATGCACTCAATCCACAATCCACACATTCTCCTGTGCAATCTACATGTACAAAACCTTGTTCCTAAATGCTAATGTTGATCTGAAACTTTTTCAAGATATATTTAATAGAACCAATGAGCACCATACCGGAAATAAATATTGCTTTGATATCCCCAGAGTGAGACTAAATCTGTGCAAACACTCCATGCAAATAAAAAGGCCTAGTCTTTGGAATTTTCTCACTGATAAATTAAAAAAGTTTCCAAACCATGCCTAGTTCAAAAGTAAAATAAAAAAAAGTACCTTATTTCATCCTCATAGTTTCCTTGTGCTTCAAACTCGCAATGTATCTTTTACAACCCTTAATTGCCTACTTTTTACCCAATTCTTTACCTAAAAGGAATATTAGTCAAAACACAGAGCATTAGCATTAATTAGTGGTTTTACTGCATTACTTTTTCATGGTACAGGCAAACACTCGCTAAGAGAGGTTTTGACAAATTTAATAAAAGGATGTCCTGACTTCATTAGTTATATTACCCTGATAGACATTTATAATTATCAGTGTTAGAAATCTCTATCTTAACTAAAGGAGGTAGGTTATATTAGCTTGACTTGGGCAATTATTTAAGCCTGACTGGCAATGTTTTTTTTTAAATCCTGGAAAATCAAATTTTCCTGAATTTTTGGGGTTTCTCCTTCCCCAAAATTGGGGTTGATGAGTCATCTTCTAGCTGCTGCATGCCACTTGATGATATTTCGAAGTCTGTTGTCTTGCCCTTATCCATTATATCCACGTCATCTTGATTTATGGTCTGTTTAGTACTCGCACATCCAATGCCATTAGAACCTAGAAAAATTTAGAATATATAATAAAAATAATAATAATGGAAAAAATTTATAATAAATATATAATTAAAAATTAGAAAATTCCATGTTATAATTCGCTCGCATCTATAACTAAAAATTTAACCGCTAGCATCAGGAAGAAAGGCTTCATTGTTGAAGCCGGTTGATCAACTATGAACCAGTACTTTTTGCTCTATAAACACTGACCAACAATAAGGCCAGTGTTTTCAAAATCAAATCAAATGTTTATTTAGGTAAGGTACATACATACAAGAGATTTTACAGAGAGTGATGGATTTATAGATAGGGCTAGTACATACAATGCCTAAAGACACTATTACGCAAAGCGTTTCGGGCATGAAAAACTTAAATGACTAAAGCTTAATACTAATTGAGCATACAGAATAAAATGAAAACATGGAATGAAAACATAGCTGAAAAAGCAGCACAAATACAATTCTGTCGACAAACAGCGCTCTTTAAAAAAAAAAAAAAAAACAGACATTGGTTAACAATAGAGGGGTAAGGTAGGTTACAGGGAATTTATTAGGTATAGCTTCGTTTTTATCTTAAACTGGTTGAGAGAGGTACAGTCTTTAACATGGTTGGGAAGGTCATTCCACAATCTGGGTCCTTTGATTTTTAGAGCATTTCTAGTTTGATAAAGTCGTACTCTTGGAATATCAAAACTATTTATTTCTGGTGTGGTGCTCATGGGTTCTGTTACAACCTTCTATGAAGCTTTTGAGGTCAGGATTGGCATTACAGTTTAGCATTTTATATATGTATAATACACATGAGAGAATGTGCAGTGACTTAATGTCTAACATATTCAGAGATTTGAGTAGGGGTACCGAGTGATGTCTGGGGCCAGAGTTGGATATTGTCCTAATAGCAGCTTTGTGTTGAGTAATTAGAGGACGTAAATGATTTTGGGTAGTAGAACCCCAGTCACAAATACCATAGTTGAGATATGGATAGATGAGGGAGTAATAGGGAGTCACCAGGGCAGGGCGGGGTACATAATATCTGATCTTAGAAAGAATGCCAACAGTTTTTGAAACTTTTTTTGATATATTTTAAATGTGTCCCTGGAAATTCAGCTTGTGGTCAATGAGAATGCCAAGGAATTTGCCATCTAATTTGTTACAAATTTGGGTATTGTTTATTTTGAGATTTATTTGATTAGAGGATTTATTGCCAAACAGAATATAGAAAGTTTTGTCAAAGTTAAGGGTGAGTTTGTTGGCAGTTAGCCAAAGATGAACTTTATTTAGCTCAGTATTTACTGTGGCATTTAGAGCAAGGGGTCAGGACTGGAGTAAATGAAGGTTGTGTCGTCAGCAAATAGAATTGGTTTGAGGTGTTGGGAGGCATTTGGAAGGTCATTAATGTATATGAGAAAGAGGAGAGGGCCAAGTATGCTGCCCTGAGGAACACCAATGTTGATGGGTAGGGTGGGAGAAATGGAATTTTCTGTTATGCAAAGTATCTAGTATGACAAACACACACTTTCCCAAGGGAAGACGGTACTAAATGTTTGACATGCAGTACTTAGAACACCTAAAGAGTCATGACATAATATTGTTTTCTAACAGGAAGATGAAGTGTAACAAATCTACTTAGTTTTCATGATAGAGCCACAGAGATATTACAAGTAAAAGGTTGTTGGGTTTACTGTCTATCTAAACCTAAAAAAGGCTTTTGAGTCCCACACAACAAAAAAACTGTTCTGGAAACTGGAACAAGCTGGAGGGGTGACAGGGAGACTTCTGATATTAATGAAATGTTTTAACCGACAGACAAGAGGAGGGCAGTAATCAGAAACAATGTAGCTGACTGGAGGAGTGTTACTAGCGGATTACCACAGGGTTATATATATATATATGTCGTACCTAGTAGCCAGAACGCACTTCTCAGCCTAGTATGCAAGGCCCGATTTGCCTAATGAGCCAAGTTTTCATGAATTAATTGTTTTTCGACTACCTAACCTACCTAACCTAACCTAACATTTTCGGCTACCTAACCTAACCTATAAAGATAGGTTAGGTCAGGTTAGGTAGGGTTGGTTAAGTTCGGTCATATATCTACGTTAATTTTAACTCCAATAGAAAAAAATTGACCTCATACATAATGAAATGGGTAGCTTTATCACTTCATAAGAAAAAATGAGAAAATATATTAATTCCGGAAAACTTGGCTTATTAGGCAAATCGGGCCTTGCATAATAGGCTGAGAAGTACGTTCTGGCTACTAGGTACGACATATATATATATATATATATATATATATATATATATATATATATATATATATATATATATATATATATATATATATGTCGTACCTAGTAGCCAGAACTCACTTCTCAGCCTACTATGCAAGGCCCGATTTGCCTAATAAGCCAAGTTTTCCTGAATTAATATATTTTCTCTATTTTTTTTCTTATGAAATGATAAAGCTACCCATTTCATTATGTATGAGGTCAATTGTTTTTTATTGGAGATAAAATTAAAATAGATATATGACCGAACCTAACCAACCCTACCTAACCTAACCTAACCTATCTTTATAGGTTAGGTTAGGTTAGGTAGCCGAAAAAGTTAGGTAAGGTTAGGTAGGTTAGGTAGTCGAAAAACAATTAATTCACGAAAACCTGGCTTATTAGGCAAATCGGGCCTTGCATAGTAGGCTGAAAAGTGAGTTCTGGCTACTAGGTACGACATATATATATATATATATATATATGTCGTACCTAGTAGCCAGAACTCACTTTTTGGCCTACTATTCAAGGCCCGATTTGCCTAATAAGCCAAGTTTTCCTGAATTAATATATTTTTTCTAATTTTTTTCTTATGAAATGATAAAGCTACCCATTTCATTATGTATGAGGTCAATTTTTTTTATTGGAGTTAAAATTAACGTAGATATATGACCGAACCTAACCAACCCTACCTAACCTAACCTAACCTATCTTTATAGGTTAGGTTTGGTTAGGTAGCCGAAAAAGTTAGGTTAGGTTAGGTTAGGTAGGTTAGGTAGTCGAAAAATAATTAATTCATGAAAACTTGGCTTATTAGGCAAATCGGGCCTTGAATAGTAGGCCAAAAAGTGAGTTCTGGCTACTAGGTACGACATATATATATATATATATATATATATATATATATATATATATATATATATATATATATATATATATATATATATATATATATATACATATATATATATACATACATATATATATATATACATACATATATACATACATACATACATACATATATACATACATATATACATACATATATACATACATATATACATACATATATACATACATATATACATACATATATACATACATATATACATACATACATACATACATACATATATATATAAATAAATAAATAAAAAAAAATACAATTTTACTGACCTCTAGTCAATGGTGTCACAGAATCATTATGTTCAACTGTGAGTTGATTTACTTCTGCAGCCTCCAACTTCCTCTTGCGATCTGAAGATAAAAGTTTCTAATATAATTTAATAACTAAAATTTCAGCAAAAATATGTTGGCAATATACCCTTCATGGGAGGTGTGCTTATCATGTAATGGGATGTGAATCTGGCAACAGGCAAGGTAACAAGGAATTGTTTTTATATTCAATATATAACATTTAAACTTATTCTTAGCTAAGCACAGTAATATAGTATACAATATAAATTTATCAGTTCAGATAATAATGACCCCAAGTGTATAATAATGTGCTTAAGAACCTTGTATGTACAAAAATCCTTGTATGCATGGGATATTTTGTCCAACTAGTCAGAAATGTTAAACATGAAATGTGAAAGGAAAGGAAAGCAAAACTATGAACTTCATATTTCAAAACTTGGAAAAGCAAAGACAAATCTTAGAGGGTTATTTTATTTATTGCATTAAGGTCTATGCATCCACTATATTAAATTATATTACATTATATTACATTAGTATATGCAATATTATATTAGATTAGATTAGATTAGATTATATTATATAATATTGCATTAGTATATTGCAATACAGTACTTACACAAATGGAAGATATTGCTTATCGATTTACTGTCTGCTGCTGTTAGGCAATCTGCTGGCAAAATGCCTTGAGTAGCTTTATGGAGTCCTTTCTTGTAATAGATGAACAAAGTTTCATACCCAGCACCGCGCATTTTTGCCATCTGAAAAGAAGGGGTAAAATCCTAATGAACGAAAGGCCTCATCAAGATCTCGTCTTCATAAAGATCTATCTCTTGAGAAAGTTCAACACTGGGGAATTCTCATACCAGGAACAGTTAAGTCTAAAGGGCTAAAAACATATCTAATGGGACATGACAGATGTTATTGAATGTATTTAAATTCCCTAACACTTTGGAGGATATTGCTCTACATTACTTCTTTAAAAGGGCCAGATGTAACAAACCAGGAGCAAATATTTAAAGATCACCAAGCAACAATGTAGGATAGGAAACAGGTGATGCTCTCATCCATGTGGTTAGAAACCCATTCAAATCACCTACCTGCCCTTATTCAATCATTTATAAATAATAAACCTAATTTCCTTCCTGATTAATTTAAAATTTAAAACAGGAATTTAAGGAAATTCCCGTTTCATTTCCTCCTAGATGATCCGTCACCATCATATTTTTCATAATGTGTTAATTTTCGTGATTTACGCACACACACACACACACAAGGTAGCTGGCCGGTCGAGCGGACCGCACACTGGACACGTGATCCTGTGGTCCCGGGTGTGATCCCGGGCACCGGCGAGAAACGATGGGCAGAGTTTCTTTCACCCTTTGCCCCTGTTACCTAGCAGTAAATAGGTACCTGGGAGATAGTCAGCTGTCACGGGCTGCTTCCTGGGGTGTGTGTGTCAGGGTGGGGGGGGGAAATAGTAGTAGTAGAAACAGTTGATTGACAGTTGAGAGGCAGGCCAAAAAAGCAGAGCTCAACCCCCGCAAGCAAAAGAGGTGATATGATCACTACGTACAAAATAGTAACAGGAACTGATAATATTGATAGGGAAGATTTCCTGAGACCTGGTACTTCAAGAACAAGAGGTCATAGATTTAAACTAACTAAACACAGATGCCAAAGAAATAAGAAAATTCACTTTCGCAAACAGAGTGGTAGACGGTTGGAACAAGTTAGGGGAGAAGGTGGTGGAGGCCAAGACCGTCAATAGTTTCAAAGCGTTATATGACAAGGAGTGCTGGGAAGACGGGACACCATAAGTGTAGCTCTCATCCTGTAACTACACTTAGGTAATTACACACACATTATATACTGTATATATATTATAGTATATATATATATATATATATATATATATATATATATATATATATATATATATATATATATATATATATATATATATATATATATATATATATATATAAACTGAATTCAATATAATATATTCAGGAAACAACAGTTATTACCTGCTTCTCAATGGCTCTGTAAGCCCGGGAGATGTTGTTTCGTCCTGCCACCTTCTTTCCAATAAGACGGAGAGATTCTTCCATTTTGTGTTTGCTTTCCATCCGACGAGCTTTAAAGTTGTACCCACATCTCTGGCATTTTGCAGACCGTACGTGAACACATTCCTGGCATTCTGTGCATCTCATTAGGAATTTTCCTTTCAAACCTGCAATGAAATACTTCACATTAAAATGATGTTTCCTGGAAATAGCCTAAACTCACCACATTTATCAGTTGCTTAATTGAGAAACTGTCCTTGAGGTCAGTCTCTAGCCTATTGTTGATGTGATGATGTGCATTTAATTTTGAAACTACCTCATTAAAACTAACTTGCTGAGCTAAATGAATTTAGGGTTTTAGTCCCTGAGTCTGCCTGAGGGCTGACACAGCATCAGGTAGAAGTTGAAGATGTATGTAATTATTACAGCTTGTCAAGATCTAGCTGTTTCCACATACAAACATCATTAGATATACCGATAAATTAGTCCTCATAGCTGCACACTGCAAGTTCATACTAAATTAAAACCTTCTAAATAAAGTTTGATGTTATAATTGTTACCTGTTGATGTTGTTGGCTGGGCCATGAGCAATAGTGTCAATGGATCTCAAATTTGTTGAACAACAATGGAAGAGGGGCACTGCTCTCAGACACATTGAAAATGTTGGGTGAAATTATGGGTGCCAAAGTCTTTGAAAATATAATAAGTTGTTACGAAATGCGGTCAAGCGTCATGTCAGACTAGAAATAAAAATGAATTTATGAGAACTGATTTTTCAATTCCTATCAACAGTGAAAAGAAACATAAGAAAGAGAAAATTTGTGTTAGAATTATTAATCTTAACTTTTCGGTCATATTTAACAAATGTTTACAAGAGAGACTGCTACCAAAATATACTACCAAAAAAAAAATATATTATTATATATATATATATATATATATATATATATATATATATATATATATATATATATATATATATATATATATATATATATATAATTAGTATATTTTGGTAGCAGTCTTTCTTGTAAACATATGTTGTTTACCCAATAGGCCGAGTGAATTTTTTTATTTTCAATATATTGTTTACAATTGGTTTATTTTAAATATTATTATCATATTATATTAAGAACATAAATTATTAACTTTGTTATGTTAGTTTAGATTAAGTCAAGATAGGTTAGGTTAGGTATTGTTGGTTAGGTTCGGTCATATATCTTCGTTAGTTTTAACTCAATTTAAGAAAAATAAACTCATACATAATGAAATTAATTCCTTTATCATTTCATGGGAAAAGAATTTAGGAAAATATATAAATTCAGGAAAACTTGGCTTATTAGGCAAATTGGGCTTTGCATAGTAGACCAAGTACTATGTTCTGGCTACTAGGTACAACATATATATATGGACAACATGGTCAAATTGTCCCTCCTGGACAACATGACTGCCTGCTAAGTACTGTACCTTAAAAATTGTGTTTAACCGTGGGACCCTCTATTAAACACCCACTCCACACCTATTACCTATCCAAGTTCAAGTATGTTTATTGAGGCAAGAAAAAAAATATATCTCAAAGGGATAGAGTAGCTTAGACTATTTCTACCCCCTCTATTTCAAGTCCCTCAAGGGGACTCAAGAGGACCCTTCAAGGGGACATCTTACTTTATACCCAGTTATTTCAAATTTCTTTACACACTATCACAATATTCTGGTATACTGGGCGTCTGCTATATAAAGACTAACGCTCCTCTATTGTCAATAAAGCAGGCATTTTTACCACATTTGACTACTTCCTGTAGTCTTGCTAATACACCTTGGAGTTCAGCCTGCGTTGAAGAGACATTTTCAGTTAAGCAGCATCCAATAACAGTATCTACAGTGCCGATGTCAGTGTACTCCCTGATCAAGACTCCACATCCTGCCTTCCTATCCCTAGCTACTGACCACACAATATACATGTAGTGTTTTCTGTAAGCAATTTTCTAATTATACAATCATATGTTGCCCCCAGCTCTCCTATTTCATACATACATTTTTTCTTTTGCAATGGAATAATTACTACATCTACATTACAATCCTCCCATGGTGGTGTGACTTTTCTCTTAAGCACAGTAATACATTCTGTAAAAACACCATACTTTGTAAAATTTGAGCATAAGGTACTCATATATGCTCTCTTCTTTATCATATATTGTCCATTTACTTCCCACCTTTTGAACTGAGAGGATTAATTCATTAGCTCCCCCACCACTCATTAATCTAATGGTAATGGCTACATCTCTCTGAAATTCTATCCCCCTATACTCTTCAGATTCAACTCCATCCTCATCATCTCTATCATAGCATTTCTTGGGCATCCTAAGATAATTCTCATGACTTCATTTTGTACCTTCTCCAACTTGCCCATCCTACCTTTACCAAAACAAGAAATGACAGGTGCAGCATAATCAATAAGTGATCTTACAGTACTCAAGTATATCATTCGTAACACAGGGACTCCCACTCCCTTTCCACAGCATGTCAAGGCCTTCAGAGGTTGTAATCTCCTCCGACATTGACCCAACAGTCTGTTCATCTCAGCTTCCAAACTCTCATGGGTACCAGTATATCCAACATATATGCCTAAATATTTATATATATATATTAACTTTCTCTAGATTTTTACCGTTTATTTTCAATATAATGGGCCTCCGACTTCTACATTTAAACTTAGTTTTGTCTTCATTAACCACCCGTCCCAAATGGTGACACAGGTTTCCAAAATTATTCAACACCGTTTGAACCTTTGAAATATCTTTGCCCTGAAACAAAATATCATCGGCATATAACTGGAGAACTGGATAAGCACCTCCAAAGGATACCTGATCAACCAGGCTGTGACTCATACATCAGGCTGCGAGCAGCCGCGTCCAACAGCCTGGTTGATCAGTCCGGCAACCAGGAGGCCTGGTCGACGACCGGGCCGCGGGGACGCTAAGCCCCGGAAGCACCTCAAGGTAACCTCAAGGTATATGATCGGAGTTACCCCATTTGAGTATCTCTCAGATGCTATCTTATTCATTAGTATATTAAACAGGGTGGGACTCAACACTCCTCCCTGAGGTGTGCCGAGTTCAAAAGATCTCACATCTTTGGGGAGTAGAAATAGCCTAAGCTACTCTATCCCTTTGAGATGCATTTTTTTCCTACTTGAGAATCATAAATTTCCTCCAGATCTGTAGCAAGTGCTTTGAAATATGGAATTCTAAATTAGTCAGGAAAATCTTCAAGAGCAAATAGATATAAATAAAAGTGTATTTTATACATATTATATAGGCATCTAGAACAACTGACAGCTTTCAGTAATGAGTTAGTTATACTATGATATATATACAGTAGATACTAAGTACTAAGATTATATTACATTACATAGTTCAAATAGGGACATACCAGAATTAAATGATTTTGGTGTTTGTTCTGCAGCTGGTAAATGCATTTGAGTATACGTTGGTACACTAGTTGAGAAGTCAGAACTTTGAATGTGTGGAGGTGAAACAGAAGCAGGCAATAGGGCTGTGGGCAGAAAATCAACCTTTAAGTAAGGTAATTCCACAACACTTTTGTGGGAAATTTTTTACCCACTATATATTATCTAAGAAATGTATTATTTATATCATATCTAAATCATAACAAAATCATATCAAAATCATATCAGAATCACTACAGATTCATTATACATCTGGATCATACATGACAATGCACCTATGATCACGTACACCATAGGGCCCTATAGGTGCCTACGTGACTTTGTGCATGATTTCTCAATGATCCAGAAGCTTCTAGAAGGATTGCTTAATTAAAAACTATTGTAACAATTAAATCGATTTCCAGTAGGGATTAAATAAAATCCTTAATAAGAATCAATAGTGCTAGCAAGTACTATTTATAATCTTTAAATCCTATATCTAATAATATTATAATCACATCTCAATCATATGTCTAGACAGTAAAAATAATCAATCAATATTCATTGAAGGCTACCTTGCTCAGGGAGCATGGGGAGGACGATGGCTGGGAGAGAAACGCCCACCACGCCTAGAGGCAGAACGCGTGTGTTTACAAAACGGTGAAAACGTGTGACAGTGCCTTGCGAACAATTACAGTATTCAGCTTAGGACACCTTATCCCCTTATCCAATTATCTTTATCACCAGTCATTACTCTCTAGAACTGGGGGATTACCTGGACAATATATCTACAAGGAAAAATTCCTTGAACATATCTAATAAGTGTAGAGTGGAGCACACAAGGTATTGCTGTCTCCACCTCCACCATCATCACTTATCTAACTTATTGCAACCGCAATTAAGGACAATCAATTAGCAACGCTACTAGAACATTACAGTATACAGCAACGCTGTGATATAAAATATCGTGCCTAAACTCTACAAAAGAGTTATCCGGTCTGGCACACTTGTTGGACAGGCACCTGGCATTCAGAGAAGTATATTGAATATTATTTAGTGTATTAATTAGCCAATTGTATGCTTGTATAACTTTAATATATCCAATAGGTCTGTCTGTCGGTTATAGGGTGAAGCAATGCCTTATATTTCAGTGAGTATTCATTAATCTTACAGCAACTGAATCTTTTCCAGGACCCTAGACATTTGTGAGGTTCACTGCTTCATAAGTGTCCCTAGTCTGGGAAGAGTTTTAGTCGAGCTGACTGAACCTCTTCATATAAATTGAATATATCTATATCTATATATATCCTTGAATATATAAATTAAGTTAACAATTGCTTGCTTAGTTATCTTCAATTTATCATATAAGTTTATCTAATTGAATATAATCTCTTGTACTTAGTTAACAGTACTTAGGCAACATTTAAGGTCATTTAATATCATACTTCTACAGTTTAAATTGTTGTGTTTATAGTAAATGAATATTGGCTGTTGATAGTTATGGTGCTAGGCTGGACTAGCACCATAACTATCAACATAACTAGTTATTAAACATAACTAGATGTTTAAATCCCTGATTTAAACAGAACCAGTCGTCAGTCATAGAACTGAATTTATTAAAATCTTATCCTTGTATTAAAAATACAAGCTGATGTGAGATAATTGCCTACAGGTGGATTGTGGAGCTTCAATCAACCTCTTCATTCACCCCCACCTGCCCCTTACAGCCCACAGTCTGTCATTAGGAAAAGAGGAGCTAGGATTTACGACCCTAGCTAGAGACTTTAGTTGAATTAATTTTGCATACAGTAAATTTTTAATTTTAGTACAGTACAAGACCCTAGTAGTTCTCCTCTCATATCAATCCCAGCAGTTTTCCCCACAACTTTATCTATTTTTATTTGTAAACTATCTAGATTTTTTGCTGTCTATGACTACAAATTTAACAAAAATATCATGAAGTTTATTTATATACTGTGTGAGTATATATATATTATATATATATATATATATATATATATATTATATATATATATATATATATATATATATATATATATATATATATATATATATTATACAGGTATATATATAATATATATATATATATATACAGTATAAATACAGTATACATATACAGTATACAGTATTTATACATACAGTTTAAATAGATGGTGCCTGGCAAGATGCCTGGCTGCACAGATTTACCTATTTCTGAAGGTGTGCTCCCTCCTTCGACAACCCAAAATTAACAGAATATGACTCGTTCCTAAAGTCAATAACTATGAAAGTGCTAAACCTCTCCTTGCAAAATACCAATGGGTCCAAGCAATACTCCCAGTTAGACTCGGGGGGTATAAGTATTCACAAGGCCAAACAGTTAGCATTGCTGGCATTCTTGTCCTCGAAAAGTGCTACAGGTAAATTAGTGAATGAAATACTACCAGAATACCTATGGAACTCCATTAGCATTCATGATCCCAAATTTGCAGAAGAAACTGGTCAGTGGTTTCGCATGGCGACACAATCAGCATTGCTGGCATTCTTGTCCTCGAAAAGTGCTACAGGTGAATTAGTGAATGAAATACTACCAGAATACCTAAGGAACTCCATTGGCATTCATGGTCCCAAATTTGCAGAAGGAACGGGTCAGTGGGACACTTGCCAACTCACACCCTCGACCAACTTTTCCAAACGACGGCAAACAGGCCAAATGGGATAGCCCCATAGTGGAGAACATCGACACAGCATTGCTGGAGGCAGCTTATGAGAAGGACAGAGCACGTCTTGTAGCTGTGCAAGCCCCCCATGCCAGAGACTTCCTGTTGGCAGTCCCTAATTCCACCTTGGGGCCCTAAGTATTGGTGTTGTGTTGCCCTGTGCCTTGCCGCCCCTATCTCCACTGAACACCAGTGTATTTGCGGCTATGCACGGGCAGACCAATATGGCAGCCATGGCCTAATCTGTCGTAAGACACAGGGAAAGATTGCCAGACATGAAGCAGTCAATGACATCAAGAAAAGTTTGGCTAGTTTGGTTCAGATGCAATACAAACAAAGAGCAACGGTTTCAAATTCAACAAACGAAAATATAGGGCTGACAACAGGAAATTATTTTTGACCCAGAGGGTTATTAACACATAGAACTGCCTACCCACCAGAGCTGTAACTGCCAAAACTGTGCTGAATTTCTAAATATACCTGAAAAAGATCATCAAGGCAAATGGGGGGACCTTCGACAAGCCGCGGGCTTCCTGGACTCGTCTAGGCTACTAGAGTTAATGGCACTCAGGTAAATATCTGTTTTCAAAGGAGAAGTTGACTATAACCTTGGATTATCTATAAACAAATTGTGAATAATAAAAACACCAAAAACTTAAATAATTATAAGTCTGAGGCAAAGTGAAATCTACACTAGCAATTAAACCTATAATTATACTATGATATAGGAACACACACAAACATGCATCATGGAATAAATAACTAAATAACAAATTACCTAATGAAAGGTTTGAACGTTGCATTTGTTTCATTTCAATAATCCTGCAATAATTTGCTCCTCTTCCTTTCTTGTTTGAAGGCTTCAGATAATTTAGGTCCTCAATATTTAAACTTCGCTTGATGTATTCACATTTTTTCTGGAGAGCCGAGTTTATTTTCCAATATTCCCGATCAAGGTTCTCTTTAGCTAAAATTGCTAGTGTCCGGAGACCCTCTGTTAAAAAATATACATTCTGAATAAGACACCTTATAACTAAAGCAATAGAAGCTACATTAAATGTTTTGATGATACTGTAACTGTCTAAACTAATGATCAAAGTGATAGAAATTATAATGGGATGATGGATTTCAAGCCAATTATGCTGAGCATAGAAAAAAAATACTGTTGTTATTGTTAAAAAAACTTATTGTATTACACAAGGTTGTAAAGTTTGATATTACTGTATTATAAATGCCATAATCAAATGATTTTATAAACAATACCATCATTATTGTCCGGAGTTATTCTTGGTACGTCTGGTAAGTAAAGATAGTTTTCAGGAGCCAAGAACGAATCTGCCAAAAAAATATTGGACTTTGTACATTCCAATTTGTTACAATAGCCTAATACTGCATACTAATACAAATTAAAAAAACAAATTGGAAATAATAGCTAGGCTAACCTAACACAATGACAACCTAACACTTCTTTATTTGCAATTTTGTCACAAGCTGATTAAATGATATTCTTACCTGCTTGTATGCTGGCTGGGGTCGATCTTCCAGGCATATTTATGCTACTGGTTTGTGGTTTTACTGCTGCCGCAGTAGAAGGATTTGTGACAGACACTGTACTGCTTTCTGTATCATCTACCTATTATAAAAACATAATTGATAAAAACAACATACTGCATATTCAAACGTATTGGAATGTGAATACCAATATGCAGTAAAATATATTCTTCCTACACATAACAAGCAAAATTTTAATACTGTAACTAGTTTTTGAAAATTATTTAACTAAACAGCAATGGAACATTTGCATAATTTTCAATTAGTAAAATATTACATATGAAGGAATTATTGTGGAATTGGAACTTATAGTTTGTGAAGGTTTATATTTTTACATATAAAGCTTTCTACTTTGAAGCCAACAGTAAAGCCTGAAATAGTTAAAAGAAAGCTATATTAGCCAATGCATACAATCCCAATGCTCCTATTTACATTATATTCCAAGACACTCACATTAAAAGATCACAGTAATACATCAACTGCTAATTAACTTAGAGGGGTTAAATTAAATTGATATATCATGTGCAGCCTTACACAATGTGCAGCTTTGGGAAGATTGCCAGTCCTACCCATAGCAGAGTCCATACTTAGTCCCAACAATTGGTTTCCTTTCCCTGCTCAACTCTGATGACATCTGCACAGAAAATTAAGAATATTAATATTCATATTATTAATTAATAGTAATAATAATTAATAGTAATAATGTTCTGAACCTTAATGTAATCTGACCCATATATCAATCGGGTCCACCCTTGAGTTGCGTTCCCAAAATGGTGACCCATGTTGGAATCGGTAAACGCCCTAATAATATTGTTGAAAACATCTTGATAACTTATAAACCAAAGATCTTTTTATGTCAGAAGAACTGCAGAAACAGGATCTATATGTGAAAACTCTTCCAGGACAAAATTTAAAATAAAACCAAAGATATTTGTAGTTGTATAAAAGTTGCATTTTTCATCTCTCAGAGCTGGAAATCTGCAATATTCATCTCAGAATAATGCTTATTTCACACAATCATTAAAATTGATATATCTTTGTCCTCCAACAAGATATATTTCCTTTGGTGCACTCACAATAACGAGTATATCTTGGTCTTTCTGAAGGCATATAATATTTTAGGTTTTATTAGCGTATCTTTGTTTTATTTATTTATTTATTTATTTATGCATATACAAGAATGTACATTGGGAATGTGAGGATACATAATATGGTAATTACAGTCTTGTAAAGCCACTAGTACGCACAGCGTTTCAGGCAGGTCCTTAATCTAAGAAAATTTTAAGGAGGTAAATACTTGCAAAATTTATAGACAAAAAAATGATAAGTTACATGGAATGAAAAAAAGATAAGAGAAAATTGTAGGTACAGTATATTAAAGCACATAGGTAGCTAAGATTGTTAATTACACACTATATCGGCAAGTGCTTAGGCTACTGCACTCCATGACCGACAAGCTACTGAATGCCACTATAAAAACATATGTATCTTCACTTGAGCTTTATATACTGTATGTCTATGGTAAAGTATTTAAAATGAAGCTTATATTTCTATCTTTCTTGAGACATAAAACATTTGTGTTTTTTAATAAATTTACGTGAAATAAGCATTGATCAGAGAGAGTGTTACTCCGTCGCTCGATTTGTGCGGCATCAGTGCTCGGCGATTATAAAAATACACGTATCTTCGCTTTAAATTCAAATATGCCCATAAGGTATTTAAAATGAAGCTTATGTTTCTATCTTTCTTGAGACATATAAAACTCTTACATTTATTAAAGATTCTGCGTGAAATAAGCATTGTTCTGAGATGAATATTGTGGACTTCCAGCTCTACGAGAGATGAAAAATGGAACTTTTATACAACTACAAATATCTTCAGTTTTATTTAAAATTTTGTCTTGGAAGAGTTTTCACATATAGATCCTGTTTCTGCCATTCTTATGACATAAAAAGATATTTGGTTTAATAAGTTATCAAGATGTTTTCAACAATATTATTAGGTGTTCACCGATTCCAACATGGGCGACCCTTTTGGAAACAACACATGGGTTGACCCGATTAACAGACGGGTCATATTCCAACTGGGTCTGAGACAATAATATTAACAGAGCAGTAACTAATAATAATGGACAAGCAAGTATGTTATTTCCTGAATGTTTGTCTTACTAACTCCTGAGTACCAACTTACTGCTTGGTGAACAGAGCATTAGGTGATAGGAAATACCCCCTAACAATTTCTATTCTGCCAGGGAGTTGAACCTAGAATTGTCGATTCTGATCGAGAACGAATAAAACTGTACTACTGGGATAATTCAATTACGTACCATCTACAACCTCCTGGTATATTACTGTTCTCAGACTGCTTATAGGCAATCGAAAGTTACGAAAGTTATAATTAACTTCCTTAAAGACATAAATACCTACTTGAGAATGGGCCAGGACGGACCGAAACATCGTCGTCCCTTCTCCTTCTACTATTGAATTTTGTAACTAGCTCACCAAGATTGTAACTTGCTTAGCTAAATGAATTGTGAGGTTCAGTCCCTGAGGCCATTATGTGCCTCTGTAACCCTTTCCACTACCACCCACGGGATGGGTATGGGGGGCAAAATAATTGAACTAAACTAACGTTATTGTAACCCATCTCGTGCATAAATATCTAGTAAACTTCACATACCATGCCCGAATCTAGGATCACGAGTGTTATTGTTGTTGAACGAATGCGCCCATGCAGGGTTGCCAGATACAAATTGCTGAAAGTAGCGAGCTGACGGTCAAAAAGTAGCGATTTTGTAATAAGAGTAGCCCAATTTTTTGTTGAATGACTGATACGGGTTTCAAAGTAATATATTTTGATATATAGAGTACACTACACGATGTTGTTTTATTCATATTATTTCTGCACACACACACACACACATACAAAAAAAGAAACCCGGATTTGTAGCAAACATATAAACATAGTTCACACATATAAACGGAGCTCTACAAATCAAGGGACCCAGAATGTGGAATGACCTTACCAATCATGTTAAAGACTGTACCTCCCTCAACCAGTTTAAGATAAAAACGAAGCACTACCTAATAATTTCCCTGTAACCTACCTTACCCCTATATTGTCAACCCATGTCTGGTTTTTTCTGCCATGTTCCCCTCTTTATTTTTATTTGTTCTCAACACATTTTATACTTTAATCTCAATTAGTATTAAGTTTTAGTTTTTAATGTTTTTCCTGCCCGAAACGCTTTGCGTAATAGTGGCTTTAGGCATTGTATGTACTAGCTCTATCTATAAATCTATCAATTTTTGTATAACCTCTTGTATGTATTTTACCTGAATAAACATTTATTTATTATTTATTCTAGAGCCTTAGCAAACAAACCTGGAGCACTTGTACACAACCTCTGAAGCACAACCATGCACGAACCGAAGCCTGACCATGCACAACCCACAGCCCAGGTGACACCCCCGGAGCTCGACCAGTTATTTAACCGGAGCCCGACCAGTTATTTAACCGGAGCCCGACCAGTTATTTAACCGGAGCCCGACCAGTTGTGTAACCGAAGCTCGACCAGTCGTGTAACCAGACCCCGACCAGTTGTCTAACCTTAAGCCTAGCAAGTATACATCTCATCCAACCCCCACAAAGCTAAACAGTCCCAGAGCACAACCAAGCTCCATTCCTAGCTCGACCAAACAAAAATCTCATTAGCCTTACCTAAAATCCTCCACTTGCCCTAGACACCAACTATTGACCCATAGCAAACAATTGAACTATATACAAAAAAAGAAACCCGGATTGCTAGCAAACATATAAACATAGAGCCTTAGCAAACAAACCTGGAGCACTAGTATACAAACAACCGCTGAAGCACAACCATGCACGAACCGAAGCCTGACCATGCACAACCCACAGCCTAAGTGACACCCTCGGAGCCCGACCAGTTGTGTAACCGGACCCCGACCAGTTGTGTAACCGCACGCCTATGTCTACTTAGACTGTAGATGGTGCGCCCCCACATGAATTATTGCATCCAGGCATGGAGACCTCATCCTCAGAAAGACACAGCTGCTCTGGAGCCATGTCTTACCAGAGCTATGGAGCTATGTCTTACGACAAAAATCATACCAGAGCTTAGTCATCTGTTGTATCAGGAACGGTTGAGGGCCACAGGGCTAACACCACCACAAACCAGGCATGACAGGGTGGACTTCATAGAAACCTTTAAAATACTAAACAATTTGGAGAATGTCGATCAGGACAATGTTTTCAATAGGTCAGATATTACACGAGCAAGGAGCAACGGGTTCACACTCAAGCCAGAATGCTTTTTCACCCATTGGGTTGTAAACCAGTGGAACCGCCTACCCGCCGAAGCAGTAAACGCCAAACCTCTGCTGGGTTTTAAAATACAGCTGGAAAAGATCAGAACAAATGGGGGGGACCTTTGACATGCCGCCGGCTTACTGCCCTCATCGAGGCCACTAGTGTTAGTGGACCTCAGGTAAATTCAGTTCCCGGAGGGGTGTCCCCGCTCCTTCCTGTTGGGAAGTTGTTCATCTATTGTAGTATCATACTATCATGCAAGAGTAGCCACACATCTATGGTTCATCCAATAATATCAGCAGACTTCTAGATGTTACTACTGTAACGGTTCTATTGTTACGTAAAGTATGGTGACAAATAAACACAGACACTAAGATACTATATATATATATTTGGTCGAATATACAGAAGTACACAGGTGATACGTGGTGTGAGTTGAGCGCACTGAGCGTTGGTACAGTATCTCGCAAGTGTCTGCTCTAGACCACACTTGAAAGTAGACTAGCCAATGTTCGCTACACTGCTGCTTATATTGCTCGGGCAACACCTCACCGTGTTGCCCGGGCAACGCCTCACCTCATTCATCTCCAAAGGTTGACAGGAATATTAACACTATATTTGGAGCGAGTATATTATTGGGATAATCTACTCGCTACAGAACTCCCCCTCCCAGGGGATGAAAGGAAAAATACTTGATCAAGGAACTTAGCTGGTTGGTGAATTGTACGCCCTGCTCGCGTTACATAACCATCAAAGTTAACTTCCTCCTCTTCGCTGAGATCATCTAACTGGGGTCGTAGGGTCAGGTTGTGGTGCGGCTGGTAATTGGGGTCGAAAAGTGAACTGCGTAGTCCGCGGATGTGTCTCTGGATTTAGCAGTGTCGCAGACGTTGAGACGAAGCCTGGAGCAGAGCAGAGAGCTGAGTGAGGCCGGAGTCGTGGAGCTGTATGTGGGAGAGCGTGGCGGCTCGATTGAGATTTGTGTGTCTAAACTCGGGGAGCGAGAGCGTGGCGGCTCGATGCGGTCGTAGTCTGCTGTCTGCTCTGTGTCGAAGCTGTAGCGTCTTGGGTTGATTAGGACTGTACACGCCGAGTACTACATTGTTGACTGTGGAAATTGTAGTCTGGTACCAAAAGATGTAGGCAGTGTGTGGACAAGCTCGGTGTAGCAGGAGAGAAGAATGTGCATAATTGTTGCGTCCTTGGGTCGTTGGTGGAGCATTTAGATCCGGGGCGGATGGGCTCGGGCACCAGGACATTAGGAGGTAATGTAGGCACGTAGTTAGGACAACGAGGGAATCACTGCTAGAGCTGAATTGTCCTGGAGGCGACGAAGAGTCGGAAACGCAAGCTGTAAGTCCTGTACTGCGCAAAGGGCTTGAGTCGGCAGAGTATCAAAATGCAGTGAACGTGTAGATGAATCTGACGAAAGAGCAGCTTTCGTGGGCGCCCCTGTAGAACAAGCAGTGCCCTGGCAGCGACGGAGAGTCGGCAGGACAGGCTGTAGATCCCACATTATGTAGTTACTGATGAAGCTGCCAGATGAGTGAGTAGTGATCGTGGAGCAGCAAACCGTAGTAGATGAAAATGCAGAGATGATCGCGATGAAAATCATAGCTGTGGCAAGGGTGTTGGCTACGTTCCACGACAGGTGGCTGCGGTCCACAGCAAGCAGCAGCAGTGGAGGTCCAGTGAGAGTCCATGTTGTAGTCCATCGTGGCTGGGTATCGTCGAAACTTCGTGAAGGTCGAAAATAGCCTCCATCTGCATGAACCAAAATTCTGAATCATCTGCGTTGTATGCTGGAAACCTGGTAGATAAATCCATGACGAAGATCTAGTTTGTGACTAGGTGTTCTTTTTCACTCACTGGGTCACCAATGTAACGGTTCTATTGTTACGTAAAGTATGGTGACAAGTAAACACAGACACTAAGATACTATATATATATTTGGTCGAATATACAGAAGTACACAGGTGATACGTTGGTGTGAGTTGAGCGCACTGAGCGTTGGTACAGTATCTCGCAAGTGTCTGCTCTAGACCACACTTGAAAGTAGACTAGCCAATGTTCGCTACACCGCTGCTTATATTGCTCGGGCAACACCTCACCGTGTTGCCCGGGCAACGCCTCACCTCATTCATCTCCAAAGGTTGACAGGAATATTAACACTATGTTTGGAGCGAGTATATTATTGGGATAATCTACTCGCTACAAACGAATGCGCCCACGATCACATGTTTACATTCACTGCGATGTAACAAACAACTTTTAATTTTATTCAGCTTTTTATATCAACTGTTTTACTTCAATTATTTTTCTGTTATTGGTTCTAAATATAACTAATATTTGCTTCTTTCTTATGCTATTTGTAATTAATGTCATAAAGCTTTATGATCTGAATGCACCAAACTGTGCCTTTTCATATTTCCAAGCTTAAGTTGCCAAATTGTAGGGTCTGTACAATTACCCAACTTCAAATTCAAATGTTTATTCAGGTAAAGTACATACATAAAAGGTGTGATACTAATATTGATGTATTTATAGATAGTGCTAGTACATACAATGCCTGAAGCCACTATTAAGCAAAGCGTTTCGGGCAGGAAAAACACTAAAGACTAAAACTTAATACTAATTGAGATTAAAGTATAAAATGTGTTGTGAACATATAAAAATAATAAAGGGGGGACCATGGCAGAAAAATAAGCAAAAAATACAATTTGGTCGACAAACAGCATTGTATTAAAAAAAATAGCAGACATGGGTTGACCTTTTAGGGGTAAGGTAGGTTACAGGGAGTTAATTAGGTAGTGCTTAGTTTTTTTCTTAAACTGGTTGAGAGAGGTACAGTCTTTAACATGATTGGGAAGGTCATTCCACATTCTGGGTCCTTTGATTTGTAGAGCATTTCTAGTTTGATTAAGTCGTACTCTTGGAATATCAAAAAGGTATTTGTTTCTGGTGTGGTGCTCATGGGTTCTGTTACAACCTTCAATGAAGCTTTTAAGGTTAGGATTAGCATTACAATTCAGCGTTTTATATATATATATATATATATATATATATATATATATATATATATATATATATATATATATATATATATATATATATATATA